CCCGCGGGTTCAAGACCAGCCTGGGCAACTTGGCAAGACCTCGTCTCTACAATAAATCAAAAATTAGCCGGGTGTGGTAGCACATGCCTATAGTTCTGGCTATTTGGAAGGTGGAGGTGGAAGGATCACTGGAGCTCAGCAAGTCAGTGCTGGGGTGGCCATGAGTGTGCCACTGCACTCCAGCCTGGGCAACAGAGTAAGACTCCAACTCAAAAAAAAAAAGAGAAAAAAAAGTGTTTATAAAAAAAAGAAAGAAAAAAAGAACTTGACTTACTCAAGTTACTCAGAGAGGCTGAAGCACCTTGAGCATGGGCCAGTGTGGCAACCGATGCAGGGAGAGGTAGATGGCCGCACAGAGTTTAGACTTTAGCCCGAGAGTTAATTTCTGGAAAAGTGTAAACAACGAGTGTGGGTAGGGTGAGGGAGTGGTTTGACATGACCTGATTTAAGGGTCTTCTAAGATCTCTTGAGTAGCTATGAGGAAAATGGTGTGGAGCAACATTAGAGGCAAGGAGACCAGTGAGAAGGACCTTACATAGGTGAGAGCCGGTGGCTGTTGGTGTCTGCTACAGAGGAGGGCAAGAGAGCAAATGGATTCGCCTTTATTCTTGAGGTAGAACCATATGGACTTTTAATGGGTGAGACGTGAAATTGAAGAAGAGGTATGCCATCGTGTGTGTAGTTATGTGTCTCTGTGTATCTTAATACGTGTACATACTTGAGTGTCACACATAAACAAATACAAACACTGTACATGAACATGCGTTCATTAATCTGTGTAACCTGAATATATGTGCTTATGCGTCTATTTAGACTCATGTGTTGGGTGTGCGTGCACACGCACGTTTACATGAACATACTTAAGTGTGATGTCTACGTAGAGCACCACAGAAGAGGGGCTTCTCTCTGCCCAGAACTCCAGCATCCCTATCCATGTATTCTGGGTAAAAAAACCCAGGTTTCCAGCTGCCAGAGTTCACACTGCTCTAGTCCATTCTGGGGAGGAGGGGTTTCCAAGGCAGGCTCACCTCCCCAGGCCGGATCTTTATGTAGAAGTTACTCCTCTTGTAGGAAATTTTGAGAATCTTGGGCCAGGCAAAGCGATTGATTCTCAGCCGGTCACGGTAGATAAGCAGGCCATTGGCACAGACACCTAACATGATGTCGATGCCTTCAGAGTCCTGCACAAGAAGCAACATGAAATAGGAGGCCCAGGGTCCACACCTGGAGGCAGGCAGCCTGCCATCACCCTTAAAACCTCTCCCTGGGTTCTGTCTGTGCTGAGCTCTCAGGGGCAGGTTAGAACCTCCATGCTGGAGTCCCACTGACCAATCCCTCACATAGTCATTCAGGCATTCTCTCATTCAGTTATTTATTCACCCATTCACTCATTCAATTGCTTGTTTTGTCAATCATTCAATCATTCATTCACCTGGCAAATGTTTTGTGGTACATACTCAGTGCTAGGCCATGTGTTACATGCTAGAGATACAGAAATAAACTGAAGCCTATGCCTTTCCCTCACTTGTTTGTGGCACAAACAGTTCATAAAGAAGTATAATACAAGGAGAAAATAACAAAGATCATGGGAAAATGAAGGTTATGGAACTTCGAGGAACAAGAATAAGATAGAAAAGGCTTTAAGTTGGTGGTAACACATGGCCTGGTGGCCCAAGCCTTCTGGAAAGGCCTTGGTGGTCCATCAGGGCACCACCCAGAAGCTAGGGGTGCCCTGGGAGCCAGAGGTACCTTGGCGTGGTGCAGATCTACTCCGTACATGGAAAGCTTCTTGGCGTTCTCTAGGAAGTGGATTTCTGCTTCACCTGGGGTCATGCCCCTAAGGGAGAGAAAGTGTTCACAGGTGGCCATGGGAAAGGCCTAGGCCTGAGTCCTGTGGGCTGAAGGTGACCACCATCAGAACCCATGATTCTGGGAAGGCACACATGCTGGAGTGGGCATGTATGTGGCTGAGCTTCACCTGAGTCCTCCCCCTCTGCCCTCAGAGCAGGACAGTGCACCACAGACCCTGCTTCAGTCCGCCCAACCCCCACCTTCTGCCAAAGCTCAGCTCTGTCTTATTCCCTCCAGGAAGCATCCAAGGACTAAAGTAGGAGTCAGAATTTTTGCCTCATTCTGACCTGAGTTAAGTGTGAGCTATAAATTCTGCTTTTCCATGACTGCAAAACCGTTGTTGAAGACATCATTATAATCACCCAGGAGCTCCTAAATTATTACCTACAGAAGATATTTCTCTCAGAATTTAGTATCAGAAACCACTTAATCTCTCCTGAAGAACAGCTGCACATCCTCCTTTCTGAAGAGAAGATTTATGTAAGTAACCAAGTTTCTTCTTTGCTTTGCCTGCCAGGAAACTTGAACTACATTTTACTCTTAGGTACAGCAAACATTTAGTGAGTACTATGTGCTAGTCACTGTTCTAAGCGCGTTACATGTATTAACCCACCAAATTCTCATAACAACTCTGTAAGGTCAATATTATTGTTATTCTCATTTTATAGATGAGAGAACTGGCACAGAGAGATGAGTAACTTGCCTAAGGGCACATTGCTATTAAGTAGAAGAGTCAGGATTTGAATCCAGACAATGTAGCTCCATAGTTAGTACTCCTAACCATTTCACTGCATCTGTTTTTATATCCTCCAGGCCTTGGTTTCCTCTGCCCTGTCTATATCTGAGCTGCTGCATGGGACAGCTGGACACTAGAAGTCAATGTGCCTCAGGTCCAAAGAGCTGTAGGACAGCCATTAGTATTCTCTAGCCCATATTGATCTGTATGTCTTTCTTTGAATTATTATGACTTTTGCATTCCTGAGATAGCTTTCTATTTAGGACAGGGATGACAAATAGGTGGCAGACAGGCCACCAATCCCTATTCTATGTCCAGGTGGCCATTGCTAACAAGTTGTGGGTATTAGTACCCTACTCAGTATAACACCATAGCAGTCATTATTAGCCAAGCAGAATGCATGTGTGAATTTCTGGGAGACAGCATCTGCCACCCCTAACCTAGCACTCATCACACCTCTTCCCCATGTACGTGATCCTTCCGTATCTGGCCCTAACCCTCCTTTTCAGATGCAGCCCACAGGACACAACCATCCTCATTCTCTCCATTCTCAATGGTAATGAGACAATATCTCCATACTCCTTACCATGGGTGCAGTACTTTATCGATTATAATGTACTTTTACATCATTTATCACATGGGTTGCTGTAACAATCCTGGACTTAGAGCCCAAAGTCCTTCTAGCTTAAAAGGACCACAGACATCACTTAGTTCCAGGGGGTCTTCTCCAGGGGAATCTGTGCAGCAGGCAATGGCAAAGTGGGCATCTGGGTTGTTACAATGACTGAGAAGGTCTTTATGGGCATTTATGTATCTGGGGTCCAATGATGCTAAACATTCTATACAATGAATTTGCCTGTCCCAAAACCAACGTTCGGAAACACTGACAATCTAAGTTCATGCATATACAACTGAAAAATGGGGCTCAGATAGGTTAAATAACCAGCCTACGATCATATATCTAGTTAATTATTGTCCAACTCCTGGAACAAGGTGCTTTCCACTGCACAATCAACTATTCAATCCCTCAGATCACAGACAGTAACACTAATAGCCAACACGCAGTGTTCATTAATATGTGTCATTAGTCTCCCAACAATCTTACAAGATGGGTTTAATAGCACTCAACCTTGAACGGATGAGGAAACCAAAGCATGGGAAAGTGAAGCGGACTGCCCACGATCCCCAGGTTAGAAAGTGGCAGAGCCAGAATATGAGCCCAAGCAGGCTGGCGGTCAAGGCCAAACTTTTGAACTCCACCCCTCTTCCCCAGGATCTGGACACCAGGGGACTTACACAGTAATGATTATTATTTCCAGCTAGCAGACGAAGCTGATTCTTAGAGGCCATGGATGGGAATTATCACATCCACATAGGAGCTTAAAAAACTGGAGCTCCAAGAGGTCAATTAAGGTGAATAGTTAGTCACTATCATTCCTATTTGCAGAGACAATTTGCTCAGACACACTTCAAGTTAGGGGAAGAGCCAGGTAGAGTATGGACAGTACAGCACCTGGGGGCCTACGTCCCTCAGGTCTGCAAGGAAGGTTCTAGCCAATGGCCAAGGAGCCACAGAAGGCCCTGGGCCAAGGCCCACTCACCTGTACGTCTTGTGCAGTTCCATGATCCTCTCCTCCAGCTCCCGGGTCTGGTTAGGGGCGAAGCGGAGCTCACTGACATAGTTGCCCACATGCTCCTCGGCATCGTAGTCACCCAGCTCAGCCTGCACGGCGTAGGAGCCCAGCAGGGCATGTGTGACAAAGGAGCAGGGCAAGCGGCCTGTGATGATGTCTGCCCGCAGCTGCAGGCACAGGTAGTATCTGGAGATAGGGGAGAGTGGGCATGGGCACAGGGCCCTACTCCTCCCTAGATTCTCCAAGCACAGATGGTCCATGAGAACCAAATGGATCAACACACAATGCAGCAGAAAAGGATGCTTGCAGACACTGGCATGGCATATGTTGACAATTTAGGTGTGTCCTATGAGATAGTTTTGCAACATTTCACGTGACTTTAAGCCTATTTGTTCCTTTCTAAATTAGAGACTTTTTTTTTCTATGACAGCATTTTCAACTTCTAACTAAATTGCAAGCTAAATAGGACTAGTTTGCTGGTTTGGCTATTTTTTAAAATGGCATATTGCTTTAATTATACAATTAACACTCTATATGTGTATTGTGGAAAAAGTGCAAGCTCTAGAGGTGATTCTCAATTTTTTCTTGATGCCTATTCTCATTTCTAGTCCCCTACCCTAAAGGTCCCATATTTATCACATAGTGTTCTAGACAATTTTCTCCATGGACATGGAGAAAGGCATGTGATTTAATTTACAGGTGTTTTTAACACGTAAATGGTATCAAATGTTACATCTGATTCTACAGATCACTTTTTCATACCAAACACCACACCATAGAGCCCTTCCCATGCAGCACACACAACCCCCCTCATTCATTATAACTTCCACATAGTATTCCACAGCCTGGAGGAACCTGCTTGCTAAGGATAGCTCAGAACTTTTTTATTTTGTCTCCAGCTCTGAGTGAATTGTCTAAAAACAAACTGGTTTAGGGAAACATTGCCAACCACCAGGCCATGATTTTTTAAATAACTTTTATGTACTCGTAAACGATCTTACAATTTTGACCATTTAAAATCATTTCATTGCTTTTTCTGCTATCGTGTATTTTAAAAAAAAGTTTTGATTCACTGTCAGCCAATGATATCTCCCTGTCCATTTTTATATATTTCACTATTTTTTCCCAATAGCCTATTTATTTTCCTTTTAAGTGGCTTTTACTTGATACAATTTTTACTGCTTTGTGACATTTCGCAGTCAGAACAGAAACTTTGGCAAAAATTATGTGCAGCCTCAATGTGTGCTCAGGGCCAAGGTGTATGCTCAGAATTAGCAGCAGCTCAAACATCACAGGCACCGAGTGTGGGCTTATGAGCATTTTGTTCAAATGTCTAAAAATTCAGAAATCACTGCCAAACACTCTGACCAATCTTTTATTTCAATCAATTTGTCATTTTGACCAGTTTATTTCTGGCCTATTTTTGACCAAATCAGTCAAAATAGCTACTAGCACCCCATCTCCTGGGGCCATCTGTGCTGGGCAGGCCTAGCTTTCCTCCTGGCATCCCTGGAAGCCCAATGCCCAGGGTCTGGTACAAAGAGAAGAGGTAGTAGGGGCGAAGTCAAGGGCTTTACTGACCTAGACGTCTCATCCCCTTGGGAATGGAGTTTCAGATCATGCTATTGCCAAATTATCCCCAAGCTGAACTCAGGCTATTGAGGCCTGATCTATTCCAGGAACAACTGTCTTATCTTCCAAGGCCAGAGTCAACACCTTGATTTTGGTCCACTGCCTGGCAAACAGGCAACTGACATTAAGGAGTGGCCCAATGGGAGACAGAGGCTGGCTGAGTGGTCCCCGCCATAGGGGAACTCTAAGCCCACATCTTATTGCTGTGGGTGTACGGTCCACTGCTCCCTCCGTATCCCCAGTGCTGCAACTCTTAGCCTGCTCAGTACAGCAGCCATCATGAACATTGGGTGTGTCCCACCCAGAGATGGCCCACATTATGTTTTTTTAAAAACTTTGCATTAGTTGCCAATATTTAAAAATTGTGATATTTTCTCCCAAATCTCTAGCTTCATTTCAGTAATCAGGTCCAATTCCCACGTGACAGTGCTGGCCTGGAGCTCAACAGCAACTGTTTTAGATGGTTTCTGTCCTCTTAAATTCACAAGGGGCCCCTGGTTACCTGTGATACCTCCTCCTCTAAAGACAAGGGTCAGCAGACATTGACCACTGTGTTTGTGTCACTTCTTTTCTCACACCGAGTTGGCCTTCTGTGTTGATGCTAAATGCCTGATCTTAGTAGGCAACTGCACTTGCAGCTGCTGTCATATACTGCCCGTGTCCCCATCTGCACTGCCAAGGGCCCTCATCCACAATCCCACACAGCCAGCAAACCTGCTACTCCCTCCACAGCCCTCACCTTGTGATGTCTTCTGTCAGCTGGGCAGGGTCCGGGGGGTAGAACTTGACTGTGAAGGCAAAATTCCAGGGGCTGCCTGAGAGGAGAAGATGAGGGAGAGATCAGAGGGCATCATCCCAGTGGGTGACCCAGATGCACCATCCTACGTGCAACAGTCTTCTCGGATCCATAATCTCAGGACAAGTTAATCAGGGAGCCTGGAACATTATTCTCACTTAACAAAAGAGGAAACTGAGGCCCAGGTTAAGAGACTTGTGAGTCAGCAGTGGGAAGGAAGGTATAAAGAAAGAGAACTAATGCTGCACACCCGGCACACCATTAATTAATCCACAAACATCACTTTGGTAAACCTCACAACAAACCCCTGAGTAAGTCCTATGATCAGCCCCATTCTGAAGGTGAGGACACTGAGGACCAGGCAGTGGTCGGCCCAGGGTCACCAAGCTAGGAAGGAGCAATGTTGGGGTTCAGCCCAAAGCCAACAGGCGCCTTCCTCTACACCCCAGTCTATGCCACAGGATGTTAATGGGAAGAAAAAGTATCACATTAAACAGTTTTCCTAACTTTGGACTTCCCAAAGCCACCATTCTGCCACTGGACACTGTAACTCTCTAAGGTGGACATGTGTTCAAGAATTTCCAAAATGTGTTTGATCTGTCCATTTTTTACACAGCATCCTGCCAGGTTAATTTTTCTCAGGCACGCTTCGAGAAAATCTGCCCTGTATCATATTGGCTCCATCTTAGGAGGCAGGACTGGACTATAAACAAGACTAAAAGGCACATATAATGGGCTAGCCATACAAAGGGCCCTTGAAGGGAGAAGTGTTAACCTCCACACTTAGATGGGAAAAATCAACAGTACATATACAACAAGGTACAGGGATGAATAAGGGCTGGACACAAGCCCTGCAAGCCAAAATAAGGGGTTGCCACTGGAGGGGGGATGGGTACTGATGAGACCTTGCACAGAATTAACAGAAGTTTCCAATCCAGAACAATGGTCAGACCACCTCTGAGACATTTCCGGCTCCAGGCTCAAAAGGCCCCTGACAAAGTGAGAAAGGAGTCCCCTCTGGGGAAGGCTTTGGTCATAAAGAGCTGGAGGCCATATTGTCACCACCATTCTTGTCCCGTGGTCATCACCACCCTGAAGGTGGCACCACAAGTCCTGTGTCCTGGGCTTCATGACTTAAACACTTACTAAGTGCCAATCACTTTGCTTGCTAAGAACTTATGCACGTGTCTAGGGATTTAATATTCATGATCATCCCGATTTATTTTTTGTAGATGAAGATTCTGAGAAGTTAAGTCACTCTCCCAGAGTCACTCAGGTAGTTGGTGGTAGAGAACAGGGATCTAAACCCTTGTCGTCTGGCCTCAGAGCCCATTGTCCCAGACACAATTACTCTCTGGAAAAAGTGGCCTCAACAAGAAACAATCCCTGTCTCTGGAACAATAATAGTACTAATAAATAATAATAGCTAATACATACTGGGTGCTACTGTATTCAGGTGTTGTACACGTAATAACTCATTTGATCCTCACAGTAACCCGAAGTATAAGTACGATCACGATCCCACTCTACAGATGAGGAAATTGAGGCACAGAATAGCTAAATAACACAAGAAGTAGTAATGGAGTCAGGATTCAAATCCAGGCAGCCTGGTCCCAGTGTCTTCCATTGAACCATCATCAGGGAAGCAAGGGGAAAACAGCTACGGAGCACCCACTCTGTGCGAGATACTCCCTATGCACATGCCATTTAACGGTCACCCCTACCTTGTGAGGCAAGAATCACCAATCCACTTGCCAAGAGAAGAAGCAGGGACCCAGAGAGCTGAAGGAACTGCCCCAGGTGTCCTATGTGATGGGCACTGAGGTTTGGGAGGCGATATACTGTCCCTGAACGCTAGGACACAGGACTTGTGGTGCCTCCTTCAGAAGGCTGAGGGACATTCACAAACAGAAGAAAGGGGTCCCAGAAGGCAGGAATAGGATGAAGGGCTGGAGGTTACAGGGTTAGAGGTAGAGACTACGGCTCTACTAAAGAAGGCACTTGCTAAGGGTCAAGACCACTTCTCAATGACTTGAGGTGGACACGAGAAGCAATCATCCTCTGTGCCTAGGCTATGCGGGCAGGGGCTGTGGGCATGCTCTGGGGAGGGTGCTGAGACCTGATCATTTGATCTGACTACTCTTGGTCCTGACCAAGTTCCTAGTCCTCACAAACATTGCACACTCAGCTGCCTGTCCATGTTCTGACTCCTCTAGGCATGAGGGGAGCCTCCCAGCTAGGCTGGGGCTCCTGGGGGATAGCCTGAAGCCCAGACCCAGGACTCTGTCAGTCCCCAGAGGAGTGTGCTCTGTCTGTGTGCCTGCCTCTTTGTCTCCAATTGTCAGGAGCCTACAGGAAGAATTCCTCAAGACCCCTCCCACAGAGTCAGCTGGCATCCCCGGGCCCAGCTGCCTGCTGCCATGGCAACAGGCTCAGCTACAGCTTTCCAGCCAGGGGACCACAGAGTCTAGGAGAGACCAACCACAGCCAAGGGGGAGGGGCCTTGGGTGGAGGCATCTCTTCCTTGAGGCTGCAGGACTCCACCTACTCATGCTATCTTGCTCAGGCTACCTACCTCCCGCTTCGGCCATTTGAAAGCTGCCTGCTCCTGCCTGCTTGCCTTCTCTCTGGGGCAGAAAGAGCAGGTAGTTGGCCTGCTTACCTGTCTTCACCCCGGGCTCTGAAAAGAGCACAGGATGGTATTGGAGGACCAAGGCTCAAGACGTGGTTCGGCCAACACTTGGCTTTGTGACTTTGGGTAATAACCTCTGAGGAAAGGGTCAATGATAATTAAAATCTACACTAGCCCTGGACAGGAGGATGGCTATTTCCAGGCCGTCTGCTTGCTCTCAGTCTTAGATAACTCTGCAGGTCCCCTCTAGGACTGATATCCTAAACACATTTATGATCTTCTGCTACCTTCATGTGTGACTCTGCACAGTCATTTCTCTTCTCTGGGCCTCAGACTCCTCATCTATAAGACGATGGTGAACAGTCATTCCAGCCCCAGCTTTCTCCAAGGTCTACCATGTGAAGCAAACAAACCCATGGATCTGAACTCTCTTTCCAAAACAGGAGGGAGCAGCATAAGTGGCACCCTTGTGGCCAGTGCCCCCCACCCCTCACCACATCCTCAGCCACAACAAGCCACTCACTCCGGATCTGTTTCTTGATCTCCTTGGAGGGGTCCAGCCAGTTCTAAAAGAAAACATAAAAATCTTTAGAGGGAAGATGGAGGAGAGGACCCGGATAGGGTTAGAAAAGAAATAGCCTATTATGGCCAGTGAACAACTCCTAGTGGGGAATATCCTTTCTGGTACTTTTTCCTTGGGACTGGGAAATGAGGGACAAGAGGTCTGGATTCACCAAAAGTCTTGGGATCCAGTGCCCAGGAGCCTCTCAAGGCTAGGGAAGAGGCACTGGCAGGGGGTTCCTCAGTTTACCCTGACAGATCCAGCAGCCATACCAGGACTCTCCAAACACCCACCTGAGGGTGACTTATGGGTCACAAAACATGACTGGGGGAGGGATGGAACCCGGGTGGGGAAGGTTGACTGAACCCTGGGGATGTGCAAACAGAAGGCACCTGATGAAGATCTGAGGACTGGTAGAAACCATGGGGTGTGGCCAGGACTATGGGGGCCCAAGGGCAGTGGTCCACCTGCCCCCCTGACAGCAGGCCTCCCCTGCCTGGCCCTGCTCCCCCGTCCAGGTACCTTCTGACTGTCGGCATCACAGAAGGTCAGGCCAAAGTAGTCCTTCTCCAGGAGGTTGAGGTGCTCACAGACCAGGTCGAACAGCACCTGGCCCCGGCCGTGTTTCTGCAGAGGAAAGCAGAGCTTCTGTGAGGCTGGAGCACATCTGAGAGCAGGGCCGGGAGACTCCTCAGGTCCTACCAGCACAACTCAAGCCCCTCAAGGGCCTCTCAGCATCTTAACAGGCTTGTGGCACTCCGGCCACCCCATCTGGCTCTGCTCTCTGGGTCCTAAGGGATTCTGGGGTGCCACTAACATCCGTTCCTAGATGGCCATCTCTAAGTGCTATTGAGGTCTCTCTGGACCTTGGACTTGCTTGAGGAAAAGTTGAAGTGGGGGTGACTAACTTCTCCTTCCTTTATAGTGATTAAGAGAAAGAAGCTAACTTAGACCCAAGGAGCAGAAAAATCAAAAGGCCCACGTTCTGAGCCTGAGAAGAGGCCCTCAAATAGAAGAGAAGTGGGCAGGGGGAGAAGGAGAGGGCTCCGGGCCACAGTGTGAGTCTCTTTTTTCTGGCTCCTCTCCTGTACGGAGTTGAAGTCCAGAGCAGCCCAAACTAGAGTGCCACCCCCTACCCCAAAGCAAGTAAGGGTCACAGAGGCTCAGGATGTCCCACCAGCTTCCACTGAGGAACCACTGTTAGAGCCCCCCTTCCTCCCACTCCCACATAGCTGGGTTTGGGACCACTCTGGACCACTATCTAGGCCTGGGGATTAAGAATGACAAAGCCAGGAAGCTGCCTGGGCACTCCAAACCCACAGGCGTAAATATGAACACCAAGAAAGGGATCACAGGGGAGGGAAACTGAAGTAGCCAACACCCAAAGAGGTAGGGCTCCAGAGAGTGAGGGGCCAAGCCTGATGAGGAATTCCTGAACCTGGAGGGGTCTGGCAGAGAGAATGAGCTTGACCTGAGTCAAACCCTTCAGGCACTTCTGGAGCAGGCTGCAACAGCATCTGGAGGTCTGCAGAGGTGGCACAGATGCAGAAGATAGCCCTGTCTTTGCCCCAGTAGCAGGGTTGGTGTTCACCCAATTCTTCTGTAGAAGAAACATACATAAAAACAAAACAAAGGCTGGGCTTGGTGGCTCAGCCTGTTATCCCGTGCCTTTGGGAGGCTGAGGTGAGTGGATCGCCTGAGCCCGCAGGTTCGAGACCTGCCTGGGCAACTTGGCGAGATCTCATCTCTACAGTAAATAAAAAAAAATGAGTTCTGTAGTTCCAGCTACTCGGAAGGCTGAGGCGGAAGGATTGCTGGAGCCCAGCAGGTCGAGGCTGCGGTGGCCGGGAGTAGCCACTGTACTCCAGTCTGGGCGACAGAGTGAGACTCCAACTCAAACAAAAAACAAAAAACAAAAACAAAGGAAAAGACTACAGAGAAGAGGAACTCAGACTTCCAGGGCTTAGAGACAAGTCACGTGCCTTAAGATTAGGGCATGGAGCAGAAAGAGAGGTGGCTCCTATGACTCTCAGTAGGAAGGCCATCCTCTGAATGCATCCACACATGAAGAAGGGCCAGGAGTGGGGCCTAGACAGGGGCAGAGCCTCCACGGGTGCACAGATGGGGTGAGAGCTCAGACCAAGGAGCAAGTCTGAGTCTGTAAGGAAAAGGAAGTACTAAACATGGGGCCAGAAGGAACAGCGCCAGAGAGGAGGTATCTGCTGTGCCACCGACGTGGGGCAGGGCCATCCACAGGGTTTCTATATGGCCTGGATGAGAGCATCCTTCCAAGGACGGCCTCCCTTTGATGGGTTGATGTACCTTCCACAGAACCCTCAGGGCCTAGTGGGCCTGAAGACTTGAGGTGGCACCCTGGACAGGGATATTCACCAGGAAGAGAGGACACCCCCTCCCCAATAAATATATAAGGATGATTCTAGTTTAAGCATTCGTATCTCCGGGGTGAGATAGAGAAGCCCAGTTCTTAGGTCAGCACTTGGATGGTGGCATCCTTGCAAGATACAGTCATCTTTTTCTGGTGCCAGCCCTGTACCCTGTCTGAGTCTATCTGCAATCATAACAACCCTCTCTGAACCCTGGTGCCACCATCTGTACAAAGGAGAGCCAGGCTAGGTCATCTCTCTGGACACTGCAGTCAGTCCAGGACTCCCTGGGTTTGGCCAGGGTACACACAGAGTCTGTCCTGGCTCTGAGGCCAGCTGACTGGGGGTGGGCATATGGTGCCGAGTGCTCCCCTACCTCCACCTCACACTCATACTCGGAGGCATCGAGCAGAGTGACCCGGCAGATGGCACTCTTGTATTTCTTGGCAATCTTCTGGGGCGATTTCTGGGCCTTGCTGGGAGTGGTCCTCTCTGAGAGGCCGTCAGCCTCACTGTAGTCCTTCTCCTCCATGTCTAGGCTCTGCAGGTCCAACCAAAGGGAGAGTTTGGTCAGTGAGTTTGAAGCATGGCCTTTCATATAAATGAGAAGCAATAAAGAGGCATCTAGGACCAAGCAGACCCCAGAATGAGAGTCACTGCCCTCCAGCTCCCACAGGGGACCAGGGTGTGCAGTGGTGTGCACAGGAAGAGAGCCAGTATGTCCATGTGCAATGACTGGCCTCACATGATGGTCCACTTCTTTCCTGCAGGCTATTCCTACCATGGGCAGCCTCTGCAGAGGGGAGCGTCCCACAAACCAAACCTGGACCAGAGTCTCCCTGTCTCCCCAGAGCAGTGAGTGAGTCATCAGAGCATCCATCTGGTCTCTTCCTTCTCGTCTGTCACTGCATCTAGCAGGAGGCTGGGAGTTGTAGACTGATCAAGAGGAGGGAAGGGAGGCCAGAGCCCTGCCCACTGGGCCTAACTTTGCCAATGACCCTGGCCAAGTCCCTGCGCTCTCTGGGTCTGTCATGAATTGAGGAAGGTGTGAGTTAGATGACGAGGTGAGTTTCTTGTAACCTCAGGGTGATGAACTCTGCCCTGGAGTCACACTGGGCTTGTCTTGTTTCAACACACCTTCAAGAGGCAGGAAAATGAGACAGGCTTCAAAATCAGATCTTGATTTCACTCCACTTCTGTCACTTTATAGAAATGTGACTTCAGGTAACTCACTGCATCTGCATCCCGCTGAGCCTCAGTCTCCCCAAGGGTAAAATGGAGGGGTTCATGTTATCCTTTTCAGTTTGGGAGAATTAAATATAAAAGCAACCACAATGCTCCAAGCACAGTGCTCAGCATGTGACAGGTCACTCATAAACCTTAGTTTCCTTCTTTCATCCCTCCTGAGAAGATACTAAGAACTGGGCTGGGAGGAATGCCCATGTTCTCAGGCACACACCTGTTCAGCAGGCCGGGTGTCCTGCTGGGGCGGATGCTTCTCATTGGAGTTGGCCTCCGGGTGGCCGTGGCCCACGGGGGTTACAGGGGTGGTCACAGCAGCAGCGGCCTCAGGCTGCTGTGGGGCTTCCTCCTGAGCCTTCTTCACCTCAGAATCAGGGCCTGTCTCTGTTGTCATGGTGACCAGCACGCCTGCATTGGCATGAAGGAGAACATGTGACGGAGAGGGACAGCAATGGTGTGACAGAGCCAGAGGGGCAGGAACCACATGCGGAGAGAGACAGATGGAGACGTGTGGACAAAGAGCCACAGAGAAAAGGAAGGAGAGAGGGAGAGACGGAGAGGTGGGAAAGAGTTAAGAGAAGTGAGGTGTTAGTGGCTGAGGATACAGGCACGGCCCCCATCTTGCGTCCAGGCTTCTTTAGGGACCCTAATCTCTTGGCCTTGCCGAGGGGCAATGAGAGTCTCTCCAGGGAGCCTCACTCTGCCAGAATCACAGAGGGCAGTCAGTGGCCACCTCCCAGCAGGCCCCCACCAGGCTGCCTCTCTAGCCACATCACTTGGCACTTGGGAGCCCCTCAATAACTGCTGGGTGCATTGAGTTCAACCCAAAGAGCCTGGGTTCCAGGCCCTTCCCACGCTGAATTTGGGCGATCCTCTTCATGCCCCAAGCTTCGATAACTCCTGCCCTGCTAACTTCACAGGATGGATCCAAAGGAGAATGACAGGGAGGCACTTCTTTTTTTTTTTTTTTTTTTT